ACTACTAAATGTAGCCGTCTCTTCTACTCCAATAGCTTCATGTCTCGCACCTCTCGCCTTTGGAACTCCCTTCCCTATTCCAGTTTCCCTGAGAGCTATAATCTCCAACTATTCAAATGTAATGTCAATTGACCTCTCCAGTTGCCTTGATCTATACACTAACCGTCTCCTCATCCTTTCCTCTATCACTCCTATCTGATCTTGCTCCAAATTTTCTGTAACCCCTTGTGTCCTAGTGGCTTCCCGCCTTGCTTGGGGTGAAACGTTTAAAAAAAAAATTGCTTTTCCAAAGAAGGACACGATATCCCCGCCCTTATTCTGCAAGCTAAGGCTTAAATAGCAGAGTGGACTGTATTATGTGGACATAATAGGAACCTTTCTAGCAGAAGGAAAACTTTGGATTTCATACAAGCGAGAAGTTAAAAACAAATAACCCCATTTACCTTCACATGGTAATTGACATTTGATATAGAAAATGTACTATGTGCAGAGGCTTGAGAAGAACCACGTAAAAGGATTTTTAAATATGAGATATTTTTACTCTTTTGTTTCATAATTAATTTTCAAACTTTCTTGTATATCAAGGAAACCGTCTTTACTTTGAAGATTTTATATAAAATCCACAGCAATTATTTCTTAAAAAGCTTATGAATCAATTTATTAAGGCGATTCGCAGAACATTAACCTTAGCACTAGAATAACATACTCGCTAGACAACAAATAATTCTAATTAAAATATAAAAGTATGTACTTTAATACGTAACCATAATATCTATTCCAAATGTATATTCATAACTGTTCTTGGATATTTTTTTCTTTATCAGCAGACGCTTAATTGGAGAGATATTCCCTTTTATTAAACTGAGAAACAATAAATATCTGTTCTACTATGCAGTCAATGGTAGCTGTACCATAGACAATCCATCAAGTTGATTCTATATAATCAGAGATAATTATCCAAACATCTCAGTTATTTTAAATACGGGCAGGACGTAACTATGTTCTTGAGTAAAATGTTATTCAAAGAAATTAATGTTTATTTGTGATACGCCAATGTTTTCTTTCGACAGACAGAAAACTTTCACTTTTTCATGCATCTCACTTTTATTTTGTTCAAACCAACAATATACTATCATATCTCTTTCTAAATAATGCAAACATATTTATAAATTCTAATATTTCGAACTCTAGATTATGGGTGGAAATCAAATATTACAAAAAAAAGACTAATGATTGTATAATTGACTGATATTTTTTTTTTTTAAATAAGGTTTAATCAACCATTTCTGAGTTGTTTAAAGCTGAAACATATTTGGGTTTTTAAGACACATTCATTATTTACACTTACGCGTGAACTTCGTACTAACATTTTTTATTAGAATAACAAATATTTTCTATGTATTTACAATTATTTAACTCATATTTGGGGGTGGACTATATAAGAAATTATAATCTATGTTGTTAACTTATATATATGAATATATATATATATATATATATATATATATATATATATATATATATATATATATATATATATATATATATAATAAATAATAAATACTTTTATTACATGCATAGAAAATAATAATATAAAAAATATATACTCAAAAGAAAATTTTATTGAAGGCAGTGAAATATTGTTTGAGAAATACATATTTATGATGCACACTCAAAAAACAGACACACACACACACATATATATTTATATGTGTATTAATAAAATACACAAATTAATGATTTATGTGTATATGTATGTATTATCCCTCACCTTTGTTATGTTCTATTGACCACTGTTTTATTAAGACAAGCATTTTTATATATATATATATATATATATATATATATATATATATATATATATATATATATATATATATGCGTGTGTGTGTAGAAAAAAGCTAAAATGTATCATTAAAAAGAGGTATATAACATAACAAACTGCGTAGTGCTAACATACCCTTGGTCCAATTACTCAATCCTCATTTTTCTCCGTTTCATAATGTTAAAAATGATTCTCGTAATATTATGTGAGATCACTTCTTTTCTGGTTACACCGTCGTGCTCAAAGACGTAACATTGGGACCATATCGCTGTTTGCATGTTCAGCTGAGCTCAATACTTTAACTCTAGAAGTTCGGGCATGGAGTCGAATCATTACCTCCATTTAATCTATGATTCAAATGGAAGACAATAATACTATTCTGACAGCTGCCTTATAAAAGAGACTACTACATTGTCGATTTAGAAGAAAAGGCTACATTCTTAATTTCTTCTTCGAATCAAGAACCAATTGTTAGCTATCTTACTTATCCTCATAATCTTCCCATCATACAACCAGCTCATTCATTAATATCACAACATTCACTCATTATTTTCTTTTTATATGTAATCCTCTTCTCTTGCGTAGTATTCCTAGTATTCTAGTATTAAAAAATCATATTAAATGTAAAATAAATTGATATAGTAATCTTCCTGAAAATTAAAATAATTGGAAGATCGAACAAGTGTTACTACATCAAATGAATTTTAAGTGTGGAAAAAATAGTTAAATCTACAGAAAACAGAAGTTGTGGAGTGCAATGGATCTTCATGTAAGAAAAGGACAGAAAATAACGACAGTTACGGAGATAACCACACACACACACACACACACACACACACACACACACACACACACACACACACATATATATATATATATATATATATATATATATATATAGGTATGGAGAGAGCAATCATTTGAAAGTCTCAAGAATTAAAGATGTGGGCTCGCTTACTGCAATTTACGTTTTTATACTAAAAAGAGCTATGTGTTTTACACATTTCTACAATCTATAACCACTTTTGTCACAACAGAGTACACGAAGAAAGAAAAAAAAAACATTGAATAACTAATGATTGTAACGTCACATCTTTGTTGATACGTCAAATCATCTGTAGACGAATTCAGATTTCAGATTCAGACATCAGTTATTTAAAAACGAAGAAAAATATGATGACATCCCTAAACCAATCTATCTTTTTCCTGACAAGATAAGCCATTTTTAATTCATACACTAAAAATATAATTTCAAATTTATAATATAGGAAACTATATACTATATTGTATATAAGATAGAATTGTTGTTTTGTATTAGCTATAGCGCTAAAAGTGCGTGCGTGAAAACACACAGACACACAGACAGATACAGAGACATACACACACACACACACACACACACACACACACACACATATATATATATATATATATATATATATATATATATATATATATATATTCCATAATTGATTGGGTTAAAGTTTCTATATACCCAGACTAACAGCAAAATTGGACAAATTGTGTAACAGCAAAATTGGACAAATTGTGTAACAGCAAAATTTACCAATTTTCTGATTAAGTTTTGAACCGTTGTATCTTATAATTTTTTAAAGATTTCTCACTGGAACACTCCCAGGTTTTTCTGACACTCTTACCCTCTAATTTCAACAGTAAGAATGTATTTAGCTCTAAATTGAAATGATGAACACTCTTGCTGTTGCGATCTCCTGATTAAATTTACCTCTCTACTGATCCTTCTTTTGTAAAGTGATTTGTCGTTCTCTTGATGATTCTTGAATGGACTTTCAAGAAGGAACCCACATTATGAATGTTGGTGCCATTAGTGACAGCCTGAATGGTCTTTTTAATTTCCCCATTGCTCAGATGGGCAGATATAATGGGGCTGACACAATATGATTTTCACCTGTCTTCTTACTAGCTGAATAACTATAAGAGTTTTTCGGACGTTGTTTTAATGTAAGACGACACGCTTTTCATTGGTTAAATGCTGACCCTTATTTTGATTGCTACCTGTAATCTGTCTAAGGACTGTTCTTTTCTGAATTCAACGTTTGATTTTACAGAAGGAGCAACTACTATATAATATATTTCCTATCCCAGCAGATACAAACATAACCCAGTTTTGGTTTGGGAGTTGTTACTGGTGGGATTTTTAATTTTACACTTTTTACGCTTCATATTGTTTTAACTATTAATTATTTCATTGCCAGTGATTGTTTGTTTACAAAATGGGTCGTTTTGGTGCGGCTAAACAGAGAATTTTTGAGCAATATCCATCAAAAAAGCTTTCATTAAATGGTGCAATCCCAACAATTAACATTACATTAATACACATATTATCAGTGAGTGTGTATACACATATACACGAAAAGTTTAAAGAACTGTTACGTATTAACTGTCCTCCTGTATGGCAGCGAATGCTGGAAAATATCCTCAATGATCAGAAGGGTATGAATGTACAGCTTTATTCCTCAGCTATGGGTTAATTAGTAAATCTTGTATCACTAAACCATTATGATCTCCAAAAATTAAATTAAAAATTTGCTTACAAAATATTTAGATTTCGGCATTAAAATAACCCATAGATGTGTTGATATACCACTAAATACAACAAACCAAAAAATGTATCAATAACTTTATATTTCTGTATAGCATGCGCAGAAAATTAAGGAAATTGGTTTTAACATAATCACCGTTGCGAAGCACACGATACCGCTGAAATCTCAATGTATACAATGATGAACTACAGATGAAGATGGAAGATATTAATAGGGAAGATATAAATTTTGACTGTTTGTATAGAAACGGTGCTTATTACTTGAGACAAAATACCTTAAGCGTATCAGAAAAGCTGTAAAGTTAACGGTATTTCAGGTATACTGTCAAGAACGGTATGTTAACATTAATGGTATCCATAAATTCTAACTGTTGTCAGAGTTGATTGATAATAATGTTCAAATATGCTGCTTTAACGGTCTCGGTAACAGATACATAAGAGCAAGTTTTCAGTAGGAAGGAACAATTGTATTATTTGAATTAATAATACACTTAAAGCCAAAACAAACGGTCATCGAGGTGGCCATGAGAGAAATGTAGACGAGGGTATACGAGGGAGGAGGTAGACAATATATCTGTTAATATCAATTATATCCAGAAACTTCCGGTTACCGTACGATATCCGAAGTTAAGCAGCATCAAGTTTGGTCAGTATCTAGATGGGTGATCGCTTGGGAATACCAGGTGCTGTAAGTTTGGAGGTGAGATTAGTAAAATGTATTTAAGTTGTGTATTTTTTGTTCTCTTAGGCGCAAATTCTCTTGGGAAATTGTTGAAACTTAACTAATGCATGGAATAATAATACAACACAAAATGTACTTAGAACAAAATGTATTGAAACAAGAAAGTGGACACAATATTTACATATAGTCTTTTGTATATTCTTGGGAAGACCGTTCCTGGAGAATGTGTTGACTTAGTCGCAGTCGGGCAGAGTCTCTGGATTGAATCTCTTGATTCCCCTCCTGTCTTCCCGGTACCAACCATATTTATATGGTCAGTACTCCACTATGCAAATTAGGTGGATCCTACCACAACAGAAATGTATGAATCTGTCTATATTTATGAGATGAGCTATTATGCATACTATTTATATTATTGGGACTATTGTCATCATTTTTTCTAGCCAGAACTTGGAGAGGGGAATTAACAGGTGATAACTGATAACTGACATCCATTAATCATGACTCGTGGAACTAGAACAGTCTACTCCAATGAGCGAAATAAAGCGTTCAGTTCGACATTTCAACCACTTGAAGAAGGCCGGAGCGTACAACGGCCGAAACGTAGTAAAAAAATATGGCGACAAAGACGGGGACAATAGTTCGAATATTGTAAATAGTGTATAAATCTAGTTCTCCCTCCAGCTATACGACAATTATTAAGACTTGTATCACTAAATATTATTATGACAAAAAGATCTTACAATTTAAAATGTGTACTTGCATTGTTTACATTATTCGGACTGTTATCCTGATTTTCATTGCCATATTCACAACGTGTCGGTCGTTGTGCGCTCCAGCCTTCTTCAGGTGATTGGAATTTCGGACCGAACCCTTTATTTCATTCACCGAGATTGATTGTTCAAGTTCCATGTGCCATGCCTCATCTGGATGTATCAGTTATTTCCATGCCACGTGGAACTAGAACAATCTATCCCGGGGGACGTCGGTTCGAAATTCAAATCACCTGAAGACGGTCGGAGATGACAACGACCGAAACGTTTTGAATATGGCAATGAAGATGAGGATAACATTCCGAATAATGTAAATAATGCAAGTAATCATAATACCTCGTCCCAGCGATATAGACAGATCCTGAAAAAGCCTGGGCGTACAACGTCCGAAACGTTATGAATATGGCAATGAAGATGAGGATAACAGTCCTAATAATGTATATCATGCAAGTTATCATAATACCTCATCTCAGAGATATAGGCAAATATTAAAAAAATGTTTTCTGGTTTTAAATAACCTGGAAAGGTTTGATGAGCCTTAAAAAAAACAAACAAAAACAAAAAACAATCAATCAGTCAAATGTATCCATAAAATTGTAACATGTATTTATAAAACTTCAAAGTAAATAACCGGAAAATGTTTCAAAGTTTCCAAGGGCAAGCACAAAGGGTCGACGATCTTTGCTTATCACGAATGTCTAATTAGCAAACCACGCCCCCATTAGGGTAACTTTGAATATTGAGATCATCGGTCTATTGAGATCATCGGTCTATCATCGGTGTATTCGTTCGAACATCAGAAAATCATATTAATAGTAACAGTTAAGGTGGAGTTAAACGTTTTGTTATATGGAAAACTTCAATATTCATTGACAAATCAGCGTCACTGTCTACCAAATCTTTCTCTTGAAATATTATTTTCAGATAAACTGTTATCTCAACTTCACTGTTTTCGCAATTTTTTAGTACTGATTCCGGTTTACATCCATGCCTTTTATTTAAAGATGTGTAAAATCTCAGTTTCTTGAGTTAAGGGTATTTCAAGTATACTGCCAAGAACGTTATGTTTACATTCATGGTATCCATAAATTTTAACTGTTTTCTGAGTTGATTGATAATAATGTTCAAATATGCTGCCTTAACGGGCTCGGTAACCGATACATAAGAGTAAGATTTCAGTAGGAAAGTACAATTGTATTATTTGAATTAATAATACACTTAAAGCCGAAAAGAAATCGAGGAGGCCACGACAGTAATTGGAGTGGGATATATACGAGTTTTTTTTTCTCTTCTAGTTATTTGTGCTATCCATTTTTGTTGTACGTGCTGGCGAAATGTTTCTGTTACAGTCTATATTTCTGAGAAAAGGTATTATGTACATTATTTACATTATTGGGACTATTGTCCTCATCTTTGTTACAACGTTTCGGTCGTTGTACGCTCCGGCCTTCTTCAGGTGGTTGGAATGTTGAACCATTTATTTTGCTCACTGGGGTAGACTGTTCTAGTTTCAGGTGCCATGTTTAATGGATGTCAGTTATCTCCTGTTTAATTTTCCCTCTGAAATTTCTCCACTGCCTTAACCGGATATTGAACTCACACTCCTTGGGTCATGTCCACTAGATCTAACCAACGCCTT